ACTAGCTTGTTAGAATCTTTTAAACAAACAACAGCAGTAATGAACACATGCATAACATAGATGTATACACATGGCATGTTTATCTTTACAGAAGGCTTTTAATAATGTCCCTCACAAAATATTAATTCTAATTCAAGACAGGCATGTCTTTGGATTGAGACTTCGTTAATGGATAAAAAACAGAGAAGAGACAGGGGGCTTAAATTGGGTCTAATTTGTGATACACCACAGGGATCAGTACTGCACTTCATAATTTCTATTGATCATCTAGACTGTAGTACAGTATAGTTAGCAAACTAGTGAAGACTGCAGATCATACCAAATAGGAGAAATAGCGAGAATTGTATCTGACTGGGATATCTTTCAGATTACATTTAATGTTGACAGGTGCCGAATATTACAAGCAAGTAGCAAATACAAACGGTAAATATAAGATGTAATTTGAAGATGTTATCAATGAATATGTATTTACATGAACACCTCATTTACACCTTTATATAATGTGGGGGAATAAGCCAATACAATTTTAGTATATGTAGTTAAAGGTGTAGATTTTAAATGAGGTTATGTTATTTTGAAACTGTACAATACACAAGTAAGACTTAATTCAGAATACTGTGTACGTACATGTTTGGTGAGATATTGCTGGTCTGGAGTCAAATCTGAAAAGAGTACATTCCCAAGCTCAAAGAAATATCGTACAGACTAAAGGAAATGAACTTTTTTAGGTTGAACAGAGATGAGTATGAGGGGACATGTTTCAAGAATTTAGTTGATCAAGTGCACTGGCAGAGTCAATCCAATGGGCCAGAAATGAAACATAAACCAAACAGTTCATTTTATTAAGGACACGCAAACCTCACACTGTAATCAAAATAGTCTCCTAAATATAGTTCTCGCCCAGCCCTTTTACTTCAGCGCACTCTGGTTGGGTGGTTGCTTGAATATTGCGCCTCCCTGAGATCCAGCTTTTTGTGGTGCAAAACTGTGCTTATATCTGTACAGCTCTTTTATTGTTTTTTTTTTTTAACAAAGCGTTGTTAGTGAAATAAACTTCCTATTAAGGACATTGATATAAAAATATTTATTTCACCGTTCTAATACTAAAGATATTTTTTTTTAATGATTAAGTCTTGCACATTAAAGTATAGTATGGATGTGGGTTTTTTTTACCTAGATGCATAAAACAGACCAACACCAAAGGCATCTATCATTTTCTTCTAGATACATTCGTATAGTCTTCCACAAGCATCTGGCTAGAAGGAAGCCCTAGAGGCAGAAGGGGTGTCTGAACAGATGTGCTTGGGCTCATACAGACGAGAAGCCAGCTGTGCAGTACAGAGGACCCTCTGGAATCGGTAGGGTTAGGAGGACAGAGTAAATTAAAGGCTATGCAGCTCCAAATAGCACTTAAAAAGTTTCATAAGAGTTTTTCGCCATTTATATTTTTTTTCTCCTGTGTTCCCGAGATTGGGAATGTATGATTGGGAGGAAAACACTGCAAATGAAAGGGTAATTACTAATAAATTACACACATTCTTTCCAACTACCCTTTCCTACTAAAGACACCAAAGCGAGGGCCTAAAGGTCTCAATAATGCTGCTTGAGGGCAAGATCTAATCGATACACCAAAGACTGATGGGCTAAATGCAGGACAGGTTTTTGAAACAAATCTCCAGGGCTTTCCCAGATTTGATCCTTGACAAGATAACAGCAAAATTATCTCCAAGCCTGTTATGTACCTTACTTTAAATTTGAATCCCAGTGCACAAAATAAGGGTGACCCAGTAAAGATCACATACAGTATATACATTTTACATCAGTGACGCGGAAAAGGGTAAAAGGAGAAATATGGTACTCCGATAAAGCTAGCACAATTGTTAAGGCTAGCCTGTGCCAATTAAGAAAAATAGGAAAAATAATTTGAATAGATTTCTTGAGGTCTTTAAAAAGCAACTGAATGCTCTAAATCAGCTGGGATTACGAAATGAATAAGGCATTCTGTAACAAATGTTAGGATGATAGATACTCTGCAAGGCTGTGATAAACATGGAAATTGGAGCTCACAAATGTAACTTGATATTTGTGAGCTCAAATGTCAATGTTCATCACACACTTGTAGAGGATGTATGTTTTGAAAGCTAACAGCACATTACCTGTACATCATCTTCTAATCTGCTGTTTGCTGGTTCTTAACAACATGGAATAATTTTTCTTTTCAAACCTCTCTGCCAGTCAAGAGTCACTGACTGCTAATCAGCTTAAACAAGCTCTTCACTAGATGAGTTCCAACATCCTCATAGGCACTCAATAATGGACCTCAGCACTTGAGAATAATTCCCAAATGACTTCCAACCCTTAACATGAAACTTTTTATTTCATCATCGAAATATGTTCCTAACCCTCTGCTTTGGTATGATTTATACTATGAATATGAGTTAATAATTGATGGTTTTTAAAAAGGAGCTCAGAATGTGTTGATAGGTTCCAAGCTCATGTCCCACATAACCCTGAAACTATTGTGAGTTAAATAAGAATTTTAATGATATTTTTTCTACCTTATTGTTCATTAATTGTATTATACTTTACTGACAGAAACTTGTGATGTTGTGCTGACAAGCGTTCTGTACCCAGAATGATAAGCAATTCACCTTTTAGAATATACCTGATTAATTTGTATTAAAAGATTAGTCACAACAACTGGGATTGGATAATCATTTATATTATAAATATGCTGATCTGGGTGTTGTTGATATTGCTGAAATTAGACCTTCATCTCAAATTGGAAACCTGCTTCTGATCCTGTGCTCTCATTTGAAGCTCATGTTTAGAATGTCACAAGGGCATCATCTGCATCTTTTCTGTGCAGATACCAGCTTGCAGAGTCCTGCTCACAGCTGGCTGGTGACATGACCCAGACTTGAACCTTCAAGCACAGATCTCATTTCTAATTTCAGGTGAGTGTCTTTACTGTCTGAGCCACAGGGAGGCCCACTGCTTCAAGTTATCTTAAGGCCTTATTGCATGAATACAGTACAGTCCAGTGGTTAATCTGAGATCTGCTGATTGAGGTCTTCTCACAGTGATGAAGACCAGGCTCCCCACAATGTGCAAATCCATTAGAGACTCTGTGACTGTGGACATTTTTAAACCTCACTAAAGAAACATCTCTAAACTTAATTAATTAAATTATTTTTTACTCTAGTCTTTAGTCTTCTGTACTTTTTTCTCTTTCTTTTTACTTCTGTTATGAGTACTAGGTGTGGGTTATTGTACAGTACTTGGGATTATTTTAAAACAGCACTTCTGTTAAGAAGTATGTTCAGAATATTAAGCCTCGAAGTAAGAATTATGGCTGCGCAACTAACAGTAATTTTTCTACAGATTGTTTTTGGAGACATCTGCATGGTTTGCAAGAGAGCACAAAAGCGATCCTGAAAATACTGGCCTATATTGTGTTTGAATCCTTCTGTAATCTGCATCTTTTTGTAAAAACATGAATCCATATTGCTTTGTTGTAGGAATTACGTACAATATAAATGTGCCTCTCCTCACTACAATAGCTAACATGTGACAGATGGGAACAAACATTCCTAAGAGATCAGATATACTATCCTCAAGGCAGCTACAAGTCAGCTGGGCCTAAAGGTACTACTGGAGAGGTTACAGTTTCCAGCCTCCCCCAGATTTTAGGGTAAAACCCATCCTCTCCTACCCTGCAGCAGCTACCCTTGTCACGCAACTCCTGCTAGGGACATCTGGGATGAGAAAGCTGCCCACACTGGGAAAAAGACCTGAAGTAATGTAGTATTAGCAATAATAAAAAAAAACATTTTACTATGGAATATTCAAACATGGAAATCTTTCCATTACTACATTACCTTATAGGTGCCACACGTAAATAACAGAAGGGCAGCTTCCACTCTCCTTGAAGAACATCACTAGATTTGAAAAGAAAGTTGTACCTCTTAATGGTTGATCAGTTTCAAAGGCTAAAGGACAGGCAACAAGCAAATGCCAGAAACCAAGAGCACTGTTATCTCCAGAATCCTGAACGGACACGGTAGCCGAGAGTCAGCCTTCCGTGGTGAAAAGATTCATCTCGGCTGAAGAAAGAAAAATGAGATAATAGATGCTACAAGATGCCTTACTCAAACATACTTTGGGGAAACTGAAACCTTGAAATCACTATGATTTCACAGCATTTTTGACAAATTCTGAAAGTACATGTGTATGTGAAAGATCTCAAGTTCCAATGTAAGTAAAAGAGATACATTGATTATGGCTGACAATCAAATTGCGCAGAGATCTTTCTCTATGAAAAGCTTTAAAACCAGGAGAGGTTTGCCTGAGTGAAACACTTCACCATTGCCTTTCAGATTGAATCAATAGCTCCATGCATGACTGAGTAAGTAGAGTGCTAGTGCAATTCAAAGCAATACTGTAGTCCTGTATATTCAGTTGCATTGAAATCTAGAGCTACAAATGTATTACTGTTGTTATTCTGTAGAGATATTTCTAGTATGCACTATAAATGTTTTTAACTGCCATATTGCAATTGCTTATATTTACCAAGACAAATCAAGGTTATCTTAATATAGAGAACTCAACAGCTCTAGCTCTTGCTGAGTTTAATACTCTGCTGTATTTCCCCCTATACAGTGTGGAATTATTAAAGCCTGGTGAATATCTTTCATTCTTTTAAAAGGAGTTCAGAACAGTCCCCACTGTCCAAATAAGTCCATGAGTTCACAACTTTTGAGTAGCAGGCAGAGCCATTACTATATCCTCTCTACAACAGACAACAGCCACATTGGTATTGTAATGCCCATCTCATTGCTACTAAACAGAAACCGACCAGGACCTCTTTCTCTCTTTCTCTCTCAAACAAAGCTGTTATGCTCAGAGAGGGTTTATGACCTAAGGCCTCGGCCTGACCTTTTGACTGACCAGCAGCTGTCTGCTGGCATGATCAATGAGGGTGACCACCCAGCCTACTCCAGAGAGCAAAATCTCAGTCCTACAGGCAGCCAGCCCAGACAGCTGATGGTCACAAATCAGACTTACAGGTAGAAGCTTAAGTCTTTTATGTCTTTCAATTACTGTATTAACCTCCGATATGTTATTTTCTTTAGGTGACTTATTAGTAAAAATACAGGTTTCTTGTTCAGCAATGGAAGGTGTTCCTTCAGTGTTTTGTAGTACTGTGTTTCGTCAGAGTGCCATCGTACCAAGAATTGGAGTGACCAGGCACTTCAGATCAGAAAGATATTTTGGGGGTTTGCGTAATGAAATAACATACAGTTCTAGCCTTTTTAAAAAAGAAAATAATGTGCCATTGGTTTGTCATCGCTGTGTTGAGCATTTTGTCACAGAATCTCAGTGTTGTCCTTACTAAAGCTTCTGCATGAATAACAAGTAGTGGTCAAAGTTTATTTGAAAACTCCAAAGTATGGTCTGAAGCTTAGTTACAGCCTGAGTCTGGATATTCTCAAATTTATGTCACCCTAAAATCCATTTCTAAAATGTTTCTATCTTTTACACATTTAAAAGCTCTTAGAATAAGCCTCACAGTAAGGCAAGTACATTCAACAGACACGTTTGTGAAACATCAATTGACAAATGGGTGATTTTCATAAATTGTCTTACTGAAAGGGGCAGTTTAAAAGAATCCAGTTTGTATTGACTCCTCCTTCTGAAAGAAAAACTGTCAATGATATTTACTTGGTATTTAATTTTTTTCAGCTGAAAAAATGGTACAGAACTCCTCAACACAGACCATGACAGCTGCTGGAGTTTTTTTTATCCTCGGTTTCTTTGGTAAGTTGGCTTGCATGCCTTCTGAATATCTGAAGACTCTGACATAACACACAAAAAATAACAAAGCATGTTCAATTCATGATACAAAGAAGACACTTCTTGACAAGTTTCCCCAGGCCACATGTAGGTAACAGACATGAACCAGACCTGGGGGAATGACATTCTTATTTATAACAAAATGAGGCTTTTGAGGCCTAATCTTCTCTAGCAGATTTGCCATGACCACCTAAATTCCTAAGAATGTAACTGTAATAAAAAAAGCAATGCAAATGTCAGAGACAGATTCTTATTTACTGTATATACACTGTTATACTGTAAGCCACCCCGCTATATATGTTATTGTTGATGAACTCAACAAAACAATTCCCTGCACTTACTGTACATTCTTTTTCAAGGCACCAGAAAACCTGCAACATATGTGGTTTTGTGGATCATTGTGTTCTGGAAATGAAAAAAAAAAATCTGAAGAGCAAAATCCAACATTAAACAGTTGCACACAACTTAAATTAATTTAATTGCTATACCCTAACATTAAAGCTTAGTTCATACAGTATTTCCACACATTATGTTGCAGATCCAAGCAATACTAACTTTAAATGATACTACCCTGAAGCAGTGACTATCTTTGTTGGTTTGGATGAGACCACAGTTTGAAAAAAGCTGGTGACACCATTTATCTATTTCTATTTATTTTGCTATGCAATATATGTGTCTATGCTATGTACATGTGTCTGAACAGTATGTTGGGAACATACCGTATTTCAAGCTAATTCCATTCTTTATAGATATTAATTCCCCTTTCTGACTTATTTGACTATAAATTGCATTATTAAGGAACATGACCTGGACTTTTAACAGGTAGTCCTTACTATATTTGGTTACCTACAAGTGAAACACACACTCGATCTAACACAGGTCCCTAACCTACCCTCTACCATTTATTCTTAAGGGAAAATCCTCCAGCTTTAAGTTCCAAGGCCAAGGTTATCCTCTTATGGTTCCAAACCCTCCATATTTACATTGTTCTGATGTGGAAAATTCCCCTTTATATGTCTTTTTGCAGTTTGTTGCGACTTTCTGGTGCGTATTCTTGACATTCAGTATATGGGAGAGTGCTTGTACTGTATACAGGAGAAGGTTCAGAAACTAACATAAGACAAATACCCACTGGCTCAATCCCATCTGCACAGTTGGGTCAGCACAGCGAGTTACGGCAAAGTCTTGCTTTGCAAGCCGCCCATACCAAAAGTGGAACCACATAACATCAGGTGCTCAGAGAGAACAAAAGGACAAGAATGAAGAAGGAAAGAAAAAAATATATACAGATGGTACCCTAATTGATGGGGCACTATCTCCTCTTGCTGTGTTCTTGAGAATTTCCAATAAGTTTTCTTTTCAAAGTCTACACTGGGAGATGCTGGGGAGCTTGATGGCCACTTCCAGAATGGTCAGTGTTGTATATAATGACCAAAGGCCATTGCACTTCTCAGAATACAGCTCTAGCCTTGTATGTTGCGTGAGATGGATCTGATTGCACAAGCAGATCTGATTTGTGAATGTCTGAGCAATGGGTTATGGGTTATGACTTGGAGGAAGAGGATGATGTTGTATTTCATAATGCTGCCTGTGACATGTATTTTCCCATTATCCAATGAAAGAATCTCTTGAAAATGCCACAAAGATGAGCCTAAGGAGTAAGTACAATTTGTGAGCACAACTGTATACTGTAGTTTAATGTGCAGTCCTTGAATTATGTTGAGCAATACACTAAAATTAAGAACATAATGAAGGTTGGAGACAGGAGGAGACCAGTTGGCTCAGCTACTTTATTTGTTTGTTTGTAAGTAATTGATCTGAGGATCGTATCCAGCCATTTCCTGAAACAAGCAATGGTGTCAGGCTTCACCAATACAGCTGGGCAGCTTGTTCCAGACTCCCAGAACATTTGTGTAAATAACACGTCTCCTGTTCTCATTTTTTAAATGTATTTTGCCTTTGTTTCTAATGTTTGTGTGGGAGTGAAATAGAAGAAATATGCTCTTGACATAACTGAGGTTTTTTATTTCTCTTTAGAATTACATTTCTTCTTTGAAATCCTGAAATTGGTGACTTCACAGGCAGAGAGGGACATATTTAACATTCTTACATGTTATTTGTTATCCCTGTCTGGGACCACTGGGTATGGCCAACTTACCATGAGCTAAAGGAAGGGATGAGAACAACTCAAGAACAACTGAAAAAAAAAACAATGGAAATGACTGTGTTAATTTGTTAGGGAAGAAGTCATGATGCAACAAGTTGCTGCTGTAGGGAGCACTCTGAGGATTTCCAAGCCATATCAATTTCATATCATATCAATATGATGACCAGGGACACTGTGCTGTAGGTTGTGCCATCCTTAACATGAAACCAAGATCCTGCCTACTTGGTCATTAAAAATCCCATGGCACTGTTCATAAGAGTTCACTACGGGCTTCTGTATTTCAGCTAGTAAAGTAATTTCTCACTTCTCCTCCCGATTTGTTCTGTAGTGGGGCTGCTGGCACAGAATGGCTTCAGTGGGTCACACAGGTGTTGCTGCACTTTAGTGCAAGAAGCATGGGGTCCCCTCCCATGCGTGAATCACTTAGGGATCCTTGAGAGATACAATGTAGTACAATGCAAGAAAATAGAATAAATTACGGTCAGAAATTACACTAGCTTATACCATTGCATTTCTATTTCAGAATTTTTACATTACTGAGCTGCTGAATGAGAAACCACCTACTGGTTTTAAAGAATGCACACAAACTAGTGTTTCAAATCATGAAATGTTCCATTTTTTTTTCCTTGCTGAACTCCAAAAAGAAAAGTTCTTTATCTCTGGATGCACTGAATACTTTTTTTTCACAGAACAGAAAGTAAGCTGGGGTATTTTGGCTTTCTGCACGTCTTGAATAGGTGATATTATGAGCATAAATGAACACTGCACGTTCAAGCAAGGGCACTTTTGTGCCATGCAGAGTTCACGTCAGTCGCCTTAAAAATGAGCACTTCACTTGGGATGGCTGACATCCAACTTCATTAGAAGAAAGAAGGGATCATATTCCCAAGAAATATGCCAAGATTTCAGAACAAACTCTGTAGTGGCTCATAGGAATATTGCAAATGTATGCCACATAACAATAAGAACAGAGGGCACACTTAAGTATTTTTTAAGACAAATAACTCAAGAAGTGTTATGTCAAAATTGTACAATGCACTAATAAGACTAGTAATTGTACTGGTCTGGAATCAGTCCAGAGAAAAGCAAACCAGATACATTCCTGGGCTTAAAGGAATGCTCTTCTCTGACAGGCTTAAAAGGACCTGATTCAAGTATTCAAAATCTTCAGAAGCACTGCCATAGTCAACGTTTTGGACTTCTTTAGGATTAAACACAGAATCACGAAATAGAGGACACGGAAAGAAACTACAGGGGAATGCAATTAAACCTGAGGACAGGATGGACTTCTTTACACAAAGGGAGGTGGTAGTATGCAACGAACTACAAACTATGTAACTGTTGCTGATACCCTGGCTTTATTAGAGAAACAGCTGGAGGAAACGTTCAGATCCATTATGGGCTTGATGGACCAAATCGACTCCAATTACGTTCCATCAGGTTATACCAAGATATGTGTAATAAATTGAGAAAATAAGTAAATCAACCCAGTATTAGTCATAAAAAAACTGCGGCGCTATGCATTTCCAAAGCTTATTTTTAAATACTTACAAACCACATCTAACACTGAGAACTTTTGTTCACAAAAAAAAACAGTACAGAACTGGTTTGGAACCACATCCTGGAAATCTGTTATTCAATTATCAGCTGTATATGAGACCTCTCCCACAGTCTCCTCAGCTATCTGCAAGAAATGTCACCCCACACGAGGCCTGTTACACAGAAACCGCCAACCACTTCCATTCACATCCAAAAGAAGACCTGAATCGCAGGGAAGGAAAAACTGAGTAGTGAAAGCAGCCCCCCTCCTCCTTCACTCAGCAAATGTATCAGCCCTCTGAATATTAAAGCATGCCAACTCCTTAATTGCTTTGAAGAGGACATGACCACAAACAACCCTGTTTAGCAGACACATGCGAGAAGCCCTCTTTACAGAAGCCGCCCTCATAGCCTTAACAAAGAAAGCTAATAAACTCATCCTCCTGACAGCGCAGTGAGAAATGCTCTTAAAACCCCCCATTGCAGCACTGGCTACCCAGCCTCTTATTGGAAAAGAATGTTCTTGAAAAACACAAGTCAAAAAGAACATAAAGATTAATCAGGTGTGGGGAGAACAATGTCTGAGAGAGAGGTTGTTCTACAGTATGCCATTGTAATAAGCCAGAAGAGCACAGGCATCTGTTAGGGGTTAGAGTGAGAAAATGAAGCTGGTGACTGAATAATCTATTGTTTTTTTTTTATAAAAGTGAGGCTTTTCTCTTCCTACTCAAAAATATTACTTCACTTGAAAAAGCATCTGGAGGCTACAAAAAGAGAACACAAACAAGCTTCTGCCACACCGCAGATGGCGAAGAAGTTGCTGTGCCTGTGGGCGTTCAGACAAACCCAAATAAAAATAAACAGCATGAGTGACTGAGATTCAACATCTCTGTTACATAAGTCTTTTGACCGTTATCTAATCTTTGCATGCTGATTCCAGGTGCAGATTGCACACTGGACACTCCTTTCCTTAAAGAAACAATGACGGTTTGAGAAGGTACATGCCCATGTATCTCTAAGCCTAAGGCATTGGAACCCATTGCTCAGTCCAAGCTTCTCAAACTGCCTTTAGGCAACATTTCTCGAGGAAATGTCTCAGAAGGTCACCAAGCTTTTACAGGAACCAAAACTTAGAAGAGGCTGAAACATTAAAGTCATATCATAATTACATGCCTCATGCTGAAGTATCTATGCTAAAGAAAATGGCGTCCATAACACTCTGTCCCAGATAACATTGCCTATAACCAGCATGTGTGCA